GAAGAAGAGTAGTCTTACTCCAGAAGCTGAACGCAGGTGTTGCTCATGAGAGACTGAGCTAAAGCTTTAGCTGCTCCAGCCTTCATGAAGTTCCACTGGAGGCTGAAACACACACACACACACACACACAGCATGACCTCACACCTCCTAAAATGAATGACATCAGTAGATGATATCATTTCCTGACTCATTAGTTTGTGTCTATGGTCTTAAATTCGGTTGATTTAACTCACTGTAAGGACGTGATCGATCGGTTGACCCTCATGGCTTCAGCGATGGCCGTCACACCCTCATCATGAAGAAGATTAGCAGTCAGACTTCAACACAAACACACATAAAAGGATTGTAACATGTTCAGGTCAATGAAACGTGTTGCATTATGAAGAAGCGAGTTGTGCGGAAAACAAAAGCTCAATAGATGGTGAAAATGATAATTAGCAAAAATTAAATTTCTTTCCTCTTCTGAACACAAAAGAAGATATTGTGAACAATATTTGTAACCAAACGGGGGTCTATCAACTATTTAGTTTACCAATATTCTTCTAAATATCTTCTTTTGTGTTCAACTGAAAGGCGACAACTTGAGGGCGAGTAAATGAAGACAGAATTTAAATATTCGAGTGAACTATCCCTTTAAGGTAATCATTTGATAAATGGTCGGCATACACACTTATTTTTTAAACACATTTATTTTTCTAAAGGGTAAAAACAGGGGAACAACTCTCACAAGTTAGATAATCTGGAAAAAATGATCTAAAAAATCCAAAATTATTACTGTATACAAATTATACACATTTATAAAGCTAATTATGATTATGAAAGACTATGAAATATGTAATATTATTTAATAAATAAATATTATATTTATGTTTTATTAAACATATTTTATTTACTTTTACTTTATATTAAATATTTTTATTAAAAAAATATATTGTATTTTAAATAAGTACATATGTGTTAATTATAATAATTTATAATACATATTTATAATATTAAAATATCTATATTATATCAATATAAAATATTTCTAATATAATAAATGTATAATATATATGAATCATGTGTCTGAGTGTACTTACTCGAGTTCTCTAAGACACGTGTTGACTTTTAAGGCTTTGGCGATGTCTTTGGCACCAGACACTCCTATTGAATTCTCCCTTAGACTGCCACCAAACATACACACAAAGACCGCATTATTTCATAGCCAGCCCAGAACAGAAATGTTTAATACTGTGGAGTTTGAAATGAGCATATCTTGACATACTTCAGACAGCTGAGTCCTCGGTTTGACTGAAGAGCGTGTGAGAGCGCTCTAATGCCTCTGTCACTCACAGAGTTACTCTGAAGACTAAAACAAACACACACACACACACACACTCAGTCAGAGCTGTTTCTGTAGTGGACAGTGTGAAATCAACTTGCTAACTGATTATGTTTTACCTGAGCGTGTGGAGAACGTGGTTGACCATAAGTGCTTGAGCCAGAGCCACGGTTCCCAAATCACCCAGATGATTGCCGGACACACTGTAGACACAAACACACACAATTATCTCTCCGTTAATCACTCGATCAGACTTTAAGCACACTTGAGAATCTTACTTGAGATCCTGTAGCGTTTGATTCTTTGTGAGGGCCTCTGCGATTTTTTTCACTCCTTCTGCTCCAATGCCGTTCTTCTGAAGACTGCAATGCATGAAGATTTGCATTTGCATGATGCTCTACTAAAGCACACACACACACACACACACAACACACACAGACTCACTTCAGTGTGGTGAGCTTTCGGTTTGACTGAAGAACGTCCGCCAGCACACGAGCACCGTCATCCTCTATGTGGTTACTCTGCAAACTACACAAATCAACACACAAACACACATATTAAATACTTTAGGACTTAAATTTACTCATTCAAGTTGTTTTAAAAAAAATAAAAAAATAATATATATATATATATATATATTTAAATCCAATTTTACCATTTAAATTGTTTTATTTAATAAAAAATTATATTAATTCATTAATTTTATTTATTATAAATATTCTAAACAATTTTGTTATGGCGAATCAGAATTCACTTGACTGACATAAGGAGCTCATTTTTTATTTTATAAATATAATTTCAAAAAATTGAAATATAGCATTTTTAAATAATTTAATATTATATTAAATTCCATTTAATTATATTATAGGCAATTACATTATATTACATTCAGTGCTGTCAAATCAATTAATCGCATCTAACATAAAAGTTTGTAAGTACAAACACACACACATATTTACAAACTTTTATGTTAGAAAAGTATTAATCAGCTTGACAGCACTAATTATATTAAATTATATTATAAATGACACCTGTCACAATTCTATAAAGGTTTATTAGAACTCACTTGACTGACACGAGGACCTGATTCATTTTGAGAGCCTCGCTCAAGGTCTTCGCTCCCTTGGCGCCGATGTTGTTTCCACGGAGGCTGAAAGAAACAAGATCTATTTTATTTAACATCCTCAATTTCCCTTGTTGATTTAGCTTATTAGGATCAAGGGCGAAGGAAAGGACATATCACATTAGTTTGCATTATATTATTCAGTGACCATGTTAAAATATAGTATTGAAAATACAATATAATGCACAAAAATACAATATAGAAATACAAAAAAAACACCAAATTTTTGTTAATGAAGTCACTGACTCTAGGGTCGTGAGGGTTCGGTTGACGAGTAGAGCCCGACTGAGTGGATTAACTCCTTTACTGCTGATTGAGTTGTCTGCCAGACTAGAAAAGAAAGAGAAAGAGAGTTAAACAAGTCAATAAGTTTTAGAAATGTTAAAAATGTATAATTTTCATATTTGAAAAAGATGAATTATATAATGAAGACTGACTCTAGTGTAGTATAATTGTATTTATTTTATGCAAAGTATACTACAAATACATATAGTTAAATGTGTTAATTAAATAGTTAAAGATAATATAAATACCCTGCAATTGTACTTTTTGTATACTATAACAACTAATTTTGTACTTAATGCACTTATGTATAAATATGCACTTATAAATATCTTGCATTTAAAGATTATATACTATCCTTCCTAATAGTGATATTAAAACACATTTAAGGCTTAATATTAAAAAATAAATATTAAATACATTTTGATGTTCTTTTTTCACTTGGGTTAAGACAATATAATACAAATTACACACAACAAAATTGACTAAAAACAAAGTTGACTAAAAATAAAATAAAAACAAAGTATTAATAGTAGATCAATAATCCTTAAAAACACTGGTACCTGAGCATCTGAATATGGCACTCTTTGGCACTCAACAGACTTCCCAACAGCTCCATGGCACCTTCCTTAAATTCATTGTTTTCCATTCTGTAATTACAAAGGATACACAATATATTTAAATTGAAAAACGACGTTTTGTTTATTCCACACACAAATCTAAAGTATCGCTGAAATATAGGCTATCACTCAAAGTGTAGAAACTTTTACTGTCTTTTATATAATAATTTGTGTTTAAATTTGTCAGTGTAAATTGTAGTAGGATGTGTTGAAGGGGTTGTTCATCCAAAAATTCTGTCATTAATTACTCACCCTCATGTTGTTTTATAATAATATTATCCATAACGCGTGAGCTCACAGAACAACTTCCGGTCTTGAGTCAACACAACACGAATGCGCCGTCGTGGTGCTCCCCCTACTGGATTGCAGGTCAATATTTTCGTAAATAAAGTTTTTTTTGTGTGTGCAAACAAAGCACTCACGTCGCTTCATAAAATCGAGGTTAAACCACTGGAGTCACATGGATTACTTTTATGATGTCTTTCCTATCGTTCTGGACATTGAAAGCAGTTTGCTTACCTGTCTATGGAGGACAGAAAGCTCTCAGATTTCATCAAAAATATCTTCATTTGTGTTCCGATGATTAATGACAGTGATTAATGACAGAAATTTCAGTTTTGGGTAAACTAACCCTATAAGGGCTTTTTCTTTGCAAACATCTAAGAATATGTGTATTTACATGCACGTTTTACCTCAGATTACTGCAGTACAGCAGCTGTGGGAGGAGCCTCTTTAGGGAGGAGGAGTCTAGGCAATTAGACAGTTGCGTTTCTTCTGTACATGCATCCGATACTTGCAACAAGTAAGCTAGCACAGAGCAAACTCCACCCTTCAGCTTTCCCCGCAGGCCGCAGTTAATGAGATCTTCCTCGACTGACCGTAGCCACTCCCCTTGTTGCAGCTCCGCCAGACACGTGACTATTGTGACGCTGCGCATACTTACGGCGTCACCTCCTGTCCCCGTCACGGTACTCTGAAGTAAATTTGTCGCCGTGGTGCGCTGGGTCACCTGCTCCTCGCGGGAAACGCCCAGAGGACCACCTAGCAAAGCGGTGACCGCCGGAGACATCAGCCCTGACAAGAAGCGCATGAAGAGGTCGAGGTTGCCTTGCGCTGCGGCGTCCGATTGGTTGGTTTTCTGCAGCGCTGCACGGTAGTGACTGTGGAAGCCAATGCGGGGCCAGGAGACACTACTTTCCGAGAACAGATCAAACATCCCACGCCTTGATGAAATGTAGTAAAAAAGAGCTCCCAGGAATTCCTGCACAGACGTGTGCGTGAACTGCCACACCACGCTATCGTACGACCAGCTTTGCTTGCGCTGGAGGATGCGGTGGCCGAGTGTCCCAACCTGAGGAGGTACGTCAACACCGTAAGTTCGCAATTCGTTCTCGCTGAATGTATACCGTCGCCGTAAAAGGCTATAAAACGCAAGACGACCCAGAGAGCTCAGCGGCTTCCTGATGCCGCCACTGGCCGGGTCAGATCCAGAGAGGTGTGGCCAACAGTAGTGGGCATAGACTTCTGTAAGAGTCCGAGGAAGGGGCGTGGAATCTGAATCCAACTTTATAAGGCGCGATAATGTGGTCACGATAATGTGGCAGACCGCAGGGACGGAAGACAAAATGAGCAACGGTTTCTGAGAATTCAGGTAAGTCCACACTTGAGAGGAGACATCCTCAGGTGTGTACGTTTGAGACGATGAGCTCTCGTGTGATATAGAGTACACATCTAACTTGTTCGTTACACAATGGTCAATATAATTCTTTATTTGCGTTCGCGAAAAAGGCGGGGCTTCGGTCACACGATCGACCAATCCCGCCGGAACTTTTGCCCCAACGCCAGGCCTTGACAAAAGCCACAGCGTTGCCCATGGCAACAGATTACCTCGTACAATATTCGCAATAAGGTCCGATACTGGAATTTCGCGACGAGGGTCGCTAGTGGGCGGGGCATCTGCGAAATCCAACGATTGGCGAAACTCTTCCAATCCATCCAAAATTAGTAATATTTTGCAGGACTCATTAAAAGTAATTACATCCATGTTATCATACGGAACGAACAACCGTAGCAAGCGCTCGACCGATAACCGATCGAAACTGCTCAATTCCCAGCATGCAATGGGGATCGCAAGACTCAGCTCTGGATAGATGTGACCGCTGCTCCAAAGTTGGACGAAACGGTGGACCATTCGGGTCTTCCCGCTGCCAGCCACGCCCACGGTCAGCGTCACACGTGGGGCGGTGCTGACCCTCGTCAAAGGCACGATCAGCTTGTCCAATCCCAGCGCTCGACCGTGAAGAGGCCCCGCCCCTCTGTTGACTGACACCTGCACGAGGTCGTGTTCTCGCTGCTGAAGATCAGATACGCACTCAATAAGGAGGAAAGAGGAACCGTGTGAGCTTCCACCGGCTTGAGTTTTTTCATCTTCTTTGAGACGCTGAAGTAGAGCGTCTTTATGTGGTCGAACCACAGAGTCTGCAGAGAGAAAGAGGGAGAAGTGAGGAACTCAGGGATGAAAAATGATTGGAAAAGAACAAATAAAGTCATGCATACCATGTACAGTTATAAGGTTGTACTCAGTCTGGTGTGAACTTTGAAGATAAGTCTGAAGGGCGGCGCCATGTGGATCAGTGACGGACAGGAACTCAACCAATAAATGCACTTTATCCTTCAAAGCCCCCATTTCCTGGATAAGCCCCACCTCCTGTGTATTGAGCAGGTCTGCTTTTCTCATGTGATGCACCACATTTACCAAGATGGAGGTGGATAAGAACCTTTGCAACAAAGCCTGGTGTCTGCGTAACCACCCGGGATCTGAAGAACAAACAAATACACACACAAAGAACAAGTAGCATAAGCTTTTATGTTTTGATTGATACTGTGAAGCTGCTTTGATGCAAAAGCGGTATATAAATATACTTGACTTTTAGAAATAGGGATGCAAAGATACTAAATTTTCCTCTAGTACTGAAAATTAATCCTATAACACTTTACATGTATTGCTACTTTATTAGTTAATGCATTAGAGCACTACATTTGTCACAGTATTTATTAATCTTAACATTAGTTAATAAAAATACAACTGTTCATTGTCACCTCGGGACCATTAAATCATATTAATAGATAAACTTTTAATTTGAATAGTGTAAAAAAAAAGTTTTTATTTATGCTAATAATGGGTGTGTGATGCCAAAATATCCTATTGCTACGCTATCTCACGACCAATTCGTACGAATTCGTACGAGTGATAATAAAAAAAAGTGGCTAATTCGTACTAATTCATGCGACCTGATTCGTACGAATTCGTATGATTTGTCCAAAACCACGTGATGGGTAGGTTTAGGGACGGGGTCAGTGGTAGGTCATTTGTACGAATTCATACGAATTGGCCAATTCGTAAAATCTGTACGATTTAGCAAAAATCGTACAAATGAGGTCGTACCCCAGACAGCAAACTGACATTGAATCAACGTGGAAACGACGTCTCTCATGACATTGAAACAACGTTGATTTTGCTCATCGAATTAACGTTGAACCAACGTCAGACGCGGCATTCTTCAAAGCTAAATGAAAATCGAAAATTGGTTTGCTTTCATAACGTTGAAACAACGCGTTGATTTCAAGTTGATTTTCCGTTAGTTTTGAAAGAATGACGCGTCTGACGTTGGTTCAACGTTAATTCGATGAGAAAAACAATGTCAGATCAACGTTGTTTCGATATCATGTTTCTACGTTGATTCAATGTCAGTTTGCTATCTGGGACGAATTGTTACGAATTAGCCACCTCGTAAAATTTGTACGAATTCCCGTGAGATGTGTTCGTGGGCTCTCTATCTTTACCTTCCATCCTTTTGCTAGTCTCTTGTTTTTGAGCATTGGACTTCAGATCCAGGTAGCAGTATTCCTCCCATGGGATATGGTCATGTCTAGCCATCCCAGCAGAGCGCTAAAAGGAAAGCGTGTCCGAGTTTGTGTGTGTGTGTTATGAGACCATCAGTGTGATTCGGTAGGATCCATTCCCCTGTAACACACAAACACAACAATCAAATTGATACGCCATAGTGGATGAGAGATTTGCACAGACAAGTAATGCTCACATTTTCTTAGATTTATATTTTGCAATTAAAGAAATGTGGACTGATATGCATGTTTTCTAGTGATGTTAGTATACTAGTAAATGAACAGGGTATTCTAGTTCACTGGAAACCAAGACCTGACCTCATTACCCACATGCATCAACAAACATTGTGTTACTATGGTTGCAGCACGAGATCTGTCCGAAACAGATGTGAGGCGCAGGTTAGAAGCCAGTAGAATTAAGAAAACTATGAAAATTGTATGCTACAATATGGTATATTTTTATTAACAAAACAATCTGCATAGCATGTAGACTCAAAATGAGAAGAAAAAAAGCAGGAGTTCAGGTGAGGTAGAAACTGCAACCTTGACTGTCTTCACAAACACATATAATGAGTCCCATATGACAGACACACAGCAGCAGAAAGAAACGGCGAAGTCAGCAGAACGCTCTCAAGCGCTTGCTTCTGCAGATGCTGAGGTTCATGCAGAAACCCCTGAAGAACAAACTGAAAACCTCACGGCTGGGCCGAAGTAGCCTGTAGATTCAGGAGAGATGGCTGCAAATTTGTAGAAGCAAGTGATAGTAAAGTATTTGTTCCAGAAAACATTTTTTGATATGCTGGTTAAATGTCTCTTCACATCCTGATAGCAATCACTAAGTTAAGCTGTCTAAATGTATTTATGTATGTCAGTCACCGAGCACAGCACCCAAATTTGCAAGAGATGGAAACCCGTGACATGATACTCGGAGCAGTTCGCGACTCGAATTTATGCGACTAGCAACGCCAAAATGAATCTGCAGCAGTCAGGTGGTACAGGGCTGTGCTCTTCAAGTTGTGTGTTCATTATTATTGTGATATCATGAGCTTTGAGGGAGTTTACGTGAAGCTTTTATTTGCAGTACGCGGGCGTTCATGTGTTTTGAAGGAGGCGAGATGGTAGCTTTGATCTCATCATTTCAAAGCTAACCGAAAATTGTCTACCCTACCTTTCAGATGTACAGTAGAAATCGTAATATTGTGGAATATTATTTTAATTTATAATAACTTATCTTTTAAAATTTAGTTTATTCCTGTGATCAAAGCTGAATTTTCAGCATCATTACTCCAGTCTTCAGTGTCACATGATCCTTCACAAATCACTCTATGATGAAGAAACATTTCTAATTATCAATGTTGAAAACAGTTGTGCTGCTGCTGCATGTTTTTGTGGAAACTGTGATGCATTGTTTTCATTTATTGTGATACATTTATGAATAGAAAGTTCAAAAGAACAGCAGTAATTTGAAATAGAAATAGTTTGTAACATTATAAATGTCTTAACGGTCATAATTATGTATGACAAAGCAGAAGTGTGTGTGTCAGTTCAGTGGAACACTTTCACTCAAGGCGTAAACTGGCCTAAAGGTCTTCACACACACACGAGTATGTAACTTCCTTTGTAACATTTTAATAAAAAATACATCACTAACTATTTTTTCCCATGGTGGAGTTTTTAATATAGCTGAACCCTGACAGATATTCTGCTGTTGAGTTATTCTGGCGCAACTTCACCAAATCAAAGAGGTGCGTGGAAGGAAAAAGCTTAAGAATTTTATGAATAATTCCAGCAACACAACAATGCAAAGCCTATAACAACGATCATATGTGAGTGTGTGTGTGTGTGTATATATATACATATATATATATATGATCGATAGGTAGACCAAAAGATAGACTGAAAGACAGACAAAAAGTTAGATAGATAGATAGATAGATAGATAGATAGATAGATAGATAGATAGATAGATAGATAGACAAACAAAAAGATAGACAAAAGGTAGGCAGACAGACAAAAAGGTAGATATAGATAGATAGACAGACAGACAGGAAGACAGACAAAAGATAGATAGATAGATAGATAGATAGATAGATAGATAGATAGATAGACAGACAGACAGACAAAAAGGTAGATATATAGATAGACAAAAAGGTAGATATATAGATAGACAGACAGACAAACAAAAAGATAGATAGACAAAAGGTAAATAGACAGACAAAAAGGTAGATATGTAGATAGATAGATAGACAGACAGACAAAAAATATATAGACAGACAGATAAACAAAAAGGTAGATAGATAGGTAGGTAGATAGATAGATAGACAAAAAGGTAGATATGTAGATAGACAGATATACAGATAGCTATAAAGATAGACAGTTTGCAGTAGTTAGATAGATAGATAGACTGACAGACAGATAGACAGATGTTGTTGTCAATATGACATTCAGACAGTCCGCTTGAGGAAACACTCACTGTTGACGTCGCTGGTCGTGTTGTTCTTCAGATTTGGCGGCTCTAAACACACGGCAGAAGCAGCAGGTGTTTTTGAGTTTCACTAACCTCTGCTCGTCTCTACCCTACTTCTCACAGACCTCATCTTCATCCTCCGTTCGGCACTTTCTGTTTGAGTGTCTGTCACGCACCGTCTGTCTTTTTCTTTCCCTCTCTTTCTATCCTTCCTGTCGCACCTCCTTCTCTTCCTGTGCAACAGGCCACAGATGCACTTTTGACGTGTAGCATCGTCTGACATGCTGCCATTGTGTGCACAAAACCACATACAAAACACACACTTCCACGCGCTCGCTTTACAATGAAGCACTTGACTGCACACAGAAAACAAAAACATATATTCATATAAACATATATACACATGACTACAGTTGTGTGAAGATCACACTAAGGTCAAAGCAAAAAAAGCTTATGCAAATAGGGTGGTCAACAATAAAGAGTGAACGTAGGCACTATATTGGGGACTGTGATACAGTCAGGACAGGAAGTGCTGATTAAAGAACAGGAAGAGAAACGAGATGAATGAGTGTGATGTGTATATATAAATATACACACACACACATAACACATTTGGTTAAAAATGTTCAAATTGACCAGCCTTTTAAACATTTCTTGTAAATCACTTGTTATGCTATATTATCACCAAATATTGAATTAAATCTTCTTGTTAACATGTTTTCTTTAAATTTGTACAGGTTTGTATATATTTTTGGAACTGATTGATCGTAAAAATGTAACATGGTTTTCACAAAAATATGATAAAAACAAGAACCATTGAGCACAATTATTTCGATTTCTGAAGGATCCCGTGACATTGTATTTTTGATCAAATAAATGCAGCCTTATTGGTGAGCGTACAAAAAAAAACAAAATGAACAAATCTTACAAAGCCCAAACTTTTGAACGGTAGTGTACACGTACAGTGTTATATAGAAGAGAAAATGAATTAAGGCACAGCCAAAGTTAAAGAAAAACATTTATTGTGATGGTCCTTTTTTAAAAAAAGAAAATTTCCTCTTACAAATGTACATGTCTGATCATCAAAAATAATCAATGATGAAAGACTAAATCAATAATCTATTACATAAAAAGAACCTACAGGGAACCAGTGACCATGTAAAATTGGCAAATTGTATTTTAGTTTTGAAAAAACACAGCAAAAAGACCTTTGAAAATGAACATAATGAAACACATTGCAACTCTACACGTCGACACTAGTAATCAATGCATGTGTGTAATGTAATCATTATACTTTGACCCTTTATTTCCTGCATGTGTGTGTTTTCTGCTCTGTCTACGGTCCTTAAAATTCAATGTCATGAGCACTGCCAGTCCTAGAACGAGATTTAAGCGACAGAACAGTCTAATATCCAATTACCAGGCAAGATCAATATAACTAATGAGAATGAAAATGAACTGAGAACAGTGTGTACTGTAAGTAACAAGTCTTACTGTAAGCGACACACACTGAAACGCTTCTGTGGTCACATGCACTCAAACACTGATCTGATGACCCTGAGAACGACTGATAACACTTTGCAGATACACAAAAGAAAATCTGTAAACGCATGAAACAAACCGGCAGTCACAAATGGCAGACACATGTCAAACAACACTGATGTTTACTTCGCAAGCGCTAAAAAAGATTGAATGTTTGTGTATTATGAATGTTATCCGTACTATATTTGCCATATTGTCACCGTCATGTGACCTACAGAGTTGTGTCGCATCACTAACATTCATGAAACCTCTCCCGTGGCCTCATGGGATAATAAAGTGTCCATCATAAGCAACATTTCAGATTTTTTTTTTAAACTTAATCATTTAATACACTGTAAAAAGATATTTTCATGATTTGTAATCACAACATTTTTTCTTTTGTCAAATCAACTTCGATAATTGATGTAGTTCGGATAACATAATATTTTGAGTTTCTTTAAGGCAACCAGGACAATTATTTTTTTAAGTTAAACCAACAACGGTTTTTTACAGTGTAGGATTTTGTACCTTGAGTGACCGATGCATGACATTTTGTATCACGCTAATTTATGACGGCTACGGCTTTTCTTTTTTACCAGCTGATGAGTAAGTATTTCAAAGTCATAATACAAATCAAAAATACACCTGAATTCAATAAAATAATGTTTTTTTTGGAGCATTCGATTCGATAAAACATCCTGACACTTTGATCAAATCTTGAGAATATCAACATTGCATAATCAAAACCTGTGAGAATTTGATCAAACTGTGAGCCTGCATTCATCTAAGGTAAAAACACATTCATCTTCATAGAAAAACACGCAAACACTCACATGCACACTCACGCAAACACACTAAAGTTCAAGTGGCGTCTCGACCTGTTCGCTCAACTGCATGGAGAGGTAGTCAGCAGGACGCCTGCGAAAAGATCACCACAAAAATAAGAGTTTCAATACAAATATATATAAAAAGGTGAGCAAGGGCACATTCATACAAATGGGCCAATCACACAACAAAAACTGTAAATTAATTATGAATTTTTTTTTAGTATTTAATGTGTGTTAAGTGAATTGGTCAATAAATACTAAAAAATTAAAATTAAATGAAAAGTTAATACATATTAATATAAAGCATTAAATAAAATATATTTAATATTTAAAAATAAGTCATAGTATTTTTAAACTGTGTACTGATATTAATTAAATGTATTAATTTGTATACATACAATTATTTAAAAATGAAATAGAAAAAGTTGAACTGCTTTTAAACTGTAATTTGATATTAATCAAATGTATTAATTGAGATAAATACATATTTATTAATATTTGAAAATAAAAAGTTGAACTACTACTGAATTATTATATACATTTAAATTATTTTTTTTTTATTTTAAATATTAATTAACAATTTATTTATACAAATTAATACATGTAACAGTTTTAAACAGCATATTGATATTAACTCAATTTATTAATTGCCATAAATAAAACATTCAATACTGGAAAATTAAAACATGATATTATTTGAATTGGCATATAATTTTAATAACATTTATAATATATATATATATATATATATATATATATATATATTAACTTGTCTATAATACTACATTTGAATCATTATATGATTACATGAATAAAAACTACTTTTCTAATTAAAAAAGTTGGTAAGTTTGTTAAATATGTAAATATTACTTTTTACTTCTACCAATTAATTAACTGAATTTATATTTGTATATATTTTGAGAAGTTTTAAACAGTATATTGATATCAATTGACTTTTATTTCATAAAAATGTTTAGTATTAGAAAAAAGCTGAAATGATTTTAATAAGACCTTAATGCAAATGCTTTTAACACACACACACACACACACACACACACACAGATCTGGCCTCACCTTTTTTTGTACAAGTAGAGAAACAGCACGACACCCAGTGCGAACAGCAGAAGCGCTGCGAGAACAAGCCCAACCTGCAGCGCGACCGGTGCCCCCGCTGGACACACACACACGGTTACTTCTTTAGGACATTATAAACCCTGGACTTCCATAAGAGCTAACTCTAGCAATTATCTGGCATTAACATCACTCTGTGTGTGTGTGTGTGTGTGTACCTCCATGAACCTGGAGAACACGAGATGCAGGAGAACACGAGAGCTTGTTGTCGTTCAGTGAAGCAGTGATTCGCTCCCTCTGTTGGTCAGTCACAGCAAGAACAGGCCCCTGTGCGTCCAATACACCCGCCTCGCAGGACACATTCACACCTAACATGGGCAAACACAGGACATGACCGTCATTATCAGTTCAATTCAGGGACATTTGAACACCCTGAATGTGTGTTTTACGGTGTCTTACCTTTAACATGCAAGCTTGTGATCCCACAGTAACACAAACTTTCCAACAAATCAGCCAATTCCTCCTGGTCACAATCTGAGAGAGACAGAAAAGAGAAGACATTAAAATCACGATAAATATACACACTACCTATAAAAATTTAGGGTAGGACTCTCTTCTGTGCGCTTTATTTGATCAAAAATACAGTAATGTTGTGAAACATTATTACATTTTAATATAATTTGAAGTGTAATTTATTCCTGTGATCAAAGCTGAATTTTCAGCATCATTACTCCAGTCTTCAGTGTCACATGATCATTCAGAAATCACTCTAATATGATGATTTGCTGCTGAAGAAACATTTCTTATTAACATATACTATTATCTATTACCTTTTTTTTTTAAGGATATTTAATGTGTAGAAAGTTCAAAAGAACAACATTTATTTGAAACAGAAATCTTTTGTAACATTATATCTTTACTGTCTGTTTTGATCAATTTAAAGGGATAGTTCACTTTGAAATTAATTTTTGATATGTTTTAGCTTAGCTCAAGGGCATCCAAGATGTAGGTGTCTTTGTTTCCACAGTATTTTCAATTTTTATATTTATAGGTCAAATCGTTCTTGTCTGTCAGTCATATAATGGAGGTCTATGGTCACCACCTCAAAGAGCATGCACAGAGAAGTCCAAATTAAACATGATTTAATGACTCGTAAATGTAAGTACACATTGATGGCCTAAGACACGAAACGAGCGGTTTGTGTGAGAAAACGAACAGTATTTAGAGAAACAGTATTTTTTCTCTTCGAGAAAACGAAGAGTTTTTACCTCTTGTAACCACAGCCACAAAGCGCCTGCGCCCTCAGATCACTTAGACGTGGCTGTGGTTGCAAGAGGTAAAAACGATATAAATACTGTTCGTTTTCTCACACAAACCGCTCGTTTCGTGTCTTAGGCCATCAATGTGTACTTACATTTACGAGTCATTAAATCATGTTTAATCTGGACTTCTCTGTACATGCTCTTTGAGGTGGTGACCATAGACCTCCATTATATGAGTGATAGACAAGAACGGTTTAACCTAAAAATATCAAAATTTAAACTACTGCAGAAAAACAAAGACACCTACATCTTGAATGCCCTTGAGGTAAGCTAAAACATACCAAAAATTTATTTCAAAGTGAACTATCCCTTTAATGCATCCTCGCTTAATTTCTTTCAACAACAAACAAAATGACCCAAAACATTTGAAAATAAGTGTATAATGACTATTTCCATTAATATGTGACTTGATTTAGTTGACTGAAATGTTTCCAGTTCTTTCGAGGACCGTGGGAACAAAGACTGACACCTGGAGGACAACAAGGGAACGTCATCTAAACTCCACCATCATTCCAGCAGTTTTAATTCTGTTCAACGTGTTTG